TGCGTCGCACCGTAGACCTCTGATTTAATTATTTTGCGCTATATATATATATTTTATCTATATCTAGTGAACACGAGTCATGGGAATTTATTCCCGTAGTGGACCGTTGGGCGGGCGCTACATAATTTCAAAACCGAGAGTGATTTCGTTATGTTATTTTGCCGGTGTATACTTATATAAGCCTAGTCGGAATGCTGGATTCTGGGCGACAATTCAATTTGACCAATGGTAGCCGCATTCTGCATTATTAATTAAAATACCTACATATTCTCCGAGGGTAGCGCCGTCGTAAAGTTAACACTGTGACGGGGCTTGGGAGATCACACGTGTACACCAGCAGTTGTAGTTATAGTAGTGGTGAAAGACAAGTAGGTATACTATTATTCGACGTCTATTGTACTTATACACGGTATACTATATAGCCGTAAGCGGTAAATAATTAATTGGCCATAACAAACGATAGTGATTTACAATGTTCCGCTAACGCTGAGCCGCCACAGCTGCCATCACAGTAAATATAACATTGCAATATACATTGAAATTGTTATACTCACTTTTTGTTATCTCTCTTTGCAAATTCCCTCCCCCCCATATTTATTTATTTATTTCAATGACACTATCTCGAGAAGTACTTTTTATAAAAATCACTAAGAGCTTGGTTGGTAATTAGTGCGTACAAAAAAAACAACAAACAAATATTCGAACTTTGTAAGTCCTCGATACGATTTATTTGGAATATCAAAGTTTGTTGTTAACTTAAACAGAAAACTCTAATAATAAATAAATATATTAAAAGTTTTTTTCTTGAACGTACATAGTTCACTCAAGATATCGTTAAAAAAATAACTTTAAATTAAATAAAAATGATTTGAAATTATCTTATACGCAGGACTTCTACGCAATTATATATCTTATGACTTGGAAAAGGGTGAAAGGCGATGAAAGATGACACCACTAGAAAACAACCCGCGTCCCACAATCCTTAATTATTACATTTTGTAAGTATATGATAGATATTTAGTATATAACAGAAATTTCAACCACTGAGTTCGTCAATGCAATAATATCAAAATTACACAGATAATTGGTTATAAATCAAAGAAACAATACGATAAACTTAAAGTTTGGTCACTATTTGATTTTTTAAGGGAACACTAAGTAACTAAGTTTTTGTTTTTACCCCCCTTCCAACTTAATTTTTGATAGCGACTTTTGAAACTTAAATGGTAACGTATATATTTGATTAACTTTTTAAATTGAGAATAATGTACTAAAAATGTTGACTGTTCGATAACCAGTTTCAGAAACCTATTTTTAAAGTTAGGATGGGAGGGGAAGTGCGGTTGGGAAATGCGCGCAGATAAAAATAATCCTATAATATTATATATATATATATACTATACTAATATATATAATACAATAATATTTAATTATGCACTCCACCTTTCCTCCTGCCGTGAACTTGAAATTTCAATAACTTCAAAAATAGTTATCCGAAACTGGTTATCGACAGTCAACATTTTTAGTACATTATTCTCAATTTAAAAAGTTAATCAAATATATACGTTACCATTTAAGTTTCAAAAGTTACTATCAAAAAGACTAAGTTTGGGGGGTAAAAACAAAAAATATTGTGAAAAATTGAGATCACGTTGTATAAAAACAATATGAAAAAAAAAATTTTTATTTCTTATTAAACCCTATGAGGTAGATATTGAGTGGCTCATAATAAAAAAATCACCCTGTATATGTAATTAAGGGGAGCTGTTTGATACGAATTGAACTTTACAAAGTAAAATTTATATTTCAGAAAAAACTAATTTGTTGATGTACTTAGATAAATATAAGCCAACGAGTAATGACTCTGGAGAAATTACCGTACAGTTTACTAATTTATATATATAAAAAAAAAACGTTAATGTAATTTCATTTGGACACCGCATCAGAGGAATCTGTCCTATATAGCCGCACGCACATAAGTACAGCACTTCCACAATTTCTTAAGACAAACATCGTTTCAGGACTAAAGCCGAAAAATTACTGAGGAAACTTGGGATAATAATTTTAGCGGGATTGCATGTTTCAAACGTGGTTTTACGATATTAAATTTATAGCAAATAGTTTAAGCGTAACTATAACTTTTTTTTTTTAATATCTGATTCAATTTTTTTGTTTACTATTGTCATAATAAGTTGCTTACGTTTTTTTCAATATAGTGATGGTATAAATATAAACTATATGTTTGGCTTCGAATAATTTTAAGGCTATTTTCATGTGATTTCCTAATGCTAAATTTGCAATTAACGTTTGTTAAACATTTAATGATTCTGTGTATATTAAATAGAGCCTAAGGTTGGTGCAATAAATTGAGTACATTAAACCCGATTTATGAAAATTCACGTGTATTATTTGGACTTAAAAATGGATGGGCTTTGGGGTGTGTTTATTTAAACATGTTATTTAATATAACATTATATTAAAAAATATTATAAAAGTATAATACAACAAAATCTAGGGCCGGATTAATCAATAGGTACAACTGGTTCCTTCTCCTAAGCGCTCTGGACTTATGAGAAATACATCTCTAGCCTCTAAACAAAGAAAAAAAAACAGCTGTCATAGTTTACTAATTTAATGTATTGCAATGTAATTATAACAAAATGAACCTTATATTATTGCAATATTTTTAAAGATAAAATAAAAATAAATTTCGTTGTGGGCGCTAAACGTTTTAGATTATTCGTAATAGTTTGTAGGAATGTTGTAATGAAAATCGAGACCGGCGCGGCGATGCACAACTGCCTAGGGCTTACAAATGGCTTAATTCGGTTAGGCTAGATTACAAAAAAATGTATAAATGTTATTTACTATTGTTAAGAAAGTTTGGAACATAAATCATATAGTATTCGCCGTTAGAAGGACCGTTCCTTTGGGTCTTAGAATTGTAATCTGAAATGTGAAGCGACTGAATCTTTTTCATTTCTAAACTTTGTGTAGGTAATAACTGTTCGAGAATAAATAACAATTTATTCTGAAGATTAAAAAAAGGAATAAGTTTTGGTGGTTGTTAAGAAGCCATTTGAACAGATTGCCTACGGACATTCCAAACATAATAGTTGTGCGGTACAGCAGTATACATTCACTTTGAGAGAATATTTTGAACTTAATGACTTTCAACTTAAACGTTGTCTAATAGTAAATTGTACAATTTATTTTGACCGCTGTCATAAATTTTGATTTAACAAGAAATTTACCGTATAAACCAAACGTATTATATTAAACGTTATATTTATTAACTCTTCTTACTATTACTTTAGACCGTTTTGTTTTGTAAAATGTATACGCTATGCTAACATATTATATAGATACTCATAATATCTACTATTAGTTTTGTCTGTTACCGTTACAAATTCTAATGCGTTGCACTGTTAGTATCATGAAATATTCCAGATGGAAACAGGACGGTTTAGCGAAGATCTACGAATTAAAAACGTACACAGTTACATAATTATCGTTTTGTCAGCGCAATAAAATATAACTTAATTTCTAATGGCATATAACAACATGTAATACGGAAAATCGTTCCTCTTAATGAAGAACTCAGAACGCTAATATCTAATTACATTTTAATTATGTTTGGTGAGTAAATAATTTATCAAAATTTAGCGAATTAAAAATAATTTAATGTTGTTTGAACTCGCGTTTTCTCCAATTTAGATCTTTGTTACGTATAAAATAATGTTATATTTTAATTGCGTTTGTGATTTGGCTTTTTATTATGTAAGTTTTGCATATTAAACGTAATTTAAAATTGATTTACATACACCATATTTGTTATTACTCATTACCTATGTACATATTATTTAATTGACTTTTAAATATTAGTTTAGGTACTTCATTATTTTTGTGGTTCGGATCAATCTCACTTTTTGGAACTTTTGGCATACGAACTTTAAAGTTTTTATCTGATGTTCTCAATATTTGTTCCGAGCTTGCCGTTTGTTATTAAATAATGTTATGTATATAATACACATTCCATGGTGACAATAGGGTCAATGACGTGTAACATTGGTTCTTCTTGATCCAAGTCAAGGATATAAGTAGGTCCATGTCGTATCATTGACATTCCTTGGGTTCTTTAAAAAAAAATAACGGTTTCATTCTGTGTTTCTTTATCGTTTGAGCTCTGCGATCCGTGTTACCGGGAATAACTTTGGTAACATAGGTACCCGTGAAATCTTTGACGTCAACTATCCTGGGTGTGTGTGTGAGTGTGCAAATGTATATTGGCGGCCAACTTAACGGACGGACTTCCGTTTTAACGGCGCGCCTGAGGGAGCAGTGGTGGTGGTGACGTTGCGAAGGGGGAGAGAGGTGTGCGGTGGGACCATCAAAATATCGATTGGGGTCTCAACGAAGCAGCCGCGGTACCAATGGGGTGCGTGCGACATTCCTCGGGCGATATTGGAGCTCGTAAAGCCTACACGCAAATACGCATACAAACACATTTACCAAAGAGCTATAATAACGGTTGTGGAAAGAGAGACAGGGAGAGATAGCTGAGTAGATAGGTATGTGTGTGTGTAAATGCGTACAGTCGTTTTCAATTATACGCAACCAGTCAGATTTATGAAGGTATATATTATTTATCTCTAGGCCCTCCACATCCCCCTCCTCATACTCAAACACCGTGGTATCGAGTCTCTTTCTCTCTTATCTATGTACGGTCGCTGTTATATTATATTATGTGCTTGATCATTATTTTATCCAGACACCGCCACAATGTGCACACTCCGCACTAAACGAGATAATGCCGAACTTGTGAAGAGGGCGAGTATCGCACACGAAACGCTTCCCATAATATTAATATGTATATATTTTATATAACAATAACGAAAACAACAATAATAACATTATTATTATTATTATTGTATACATTTTATGGCCCAGCTTCTGTTGTTTAATGATAATTAACGTTTTTTGTTTTGTTTGCTTTTTAGGCAAACTGCCGGCACTCAACCATTTCATAAAGCACTACACGCCGGCCGAATACGACCGGGACAGTTTGAGGGAACAGCACCGGAGGATGCGCAGGGAAGCGCGCCAACAATCGCCAGTACAGCCGTTGCGACTCACCATCTCGACCCCGCATAGGTCTGTATATTATACAAAAATAAACTTTGCACCCGGCCAAAACCCGTGCTTTATGTTACTATATTGTGTGTAACTGCGTACAGTGACTCTTATTGTTACTTACTCTTTACCCGCCATGTGGTCGAACCGTGGCGGTAATTAATTACACCGGCCGACAACGTTATATTGTCACGAAATTGAAACTTACAGATTCTTAAAGTGTTTTCCCCCCAAATTTCGAGTACGGTCTCGGTTCAGTGCTCTTCTGATACCCTAGGGTTTTTCGTCGTACCTATGTCAAACACGTCACTTTTCTTATCCAGGAGTTTTGTTTTTAATGCCGGAAAAAAAAGGAAAAAACGTAACACGAGTAAAGTGTAGAATATATTAGCTCCAACGCGACGTGGACCTGAGAGGTATTAGTTTCACATTAATGTGGTTTATTTTTGTGTATGGACCTACGATACATTTTTAAGTATCCGACATTATCTTCGTATAATATACAGTGTGTATAATCAGAAATCACACTACTAAGGTACTTTATTGTTCACCGCTTTCCCTTCAAAACCGAGAGAACGCCTTTAAATTGGCCTACTTAAAGAATTTAAAAATTTGCATCCTTGTTGCGTATGTACAGGACAACTACAACAGTCAAGTTATTATAGATGCGGCTGATTAAAAATGAGAAACAAAAGTACACAGAGGAAAGGTTTAATTACTTTTCGATGAACAGTTTAAAAGAGAACCATAGGTATTGTATTTACTTGAAAACGAAGTCGCGCTATTTAATCATCGCGGTTTCAAAGTGTTTTAATTGAAATATTTTACTGGGTAATTCACTTCACGCATTCCGTCGGATAATAATTAATTTTCACATTTCATTGTTGTCCAAGACGTTGTTAACTGATTCATATAGTCTCGTGGAATCTTTTGCAGCGATGCTTAACGCGTTAAAACCCGTATGTGAGAGAGTATGAGCGCCTTTGTCTTTCGTCCATTTTACGACAGAACGCGTTATCAAGTGATGGATGTATAATGTGACCTCAATCGCTTAACCATAAAACCCATTGACCTAAATGAATATTGTCATTCAGTGGCATACAGTTTGTTCGAAACAAACGAGTTTTTTTTGTTGTTGAACTATAACTGCAACCTAATCTAATTAAATTGTTTGCGATCTAACTCCAGGGTCGGGAGCAAATCCTAATCTACTCTATTTAAAAGTACCTATACAAATACGGTTTTTAGCTTTTTCTGAGTTTGGTCGATTACAACACAGAAATAAGAACTTTTAAAATATTAAATAATTAATTAGTTAAAAAATGTGATTATTTAAACAACAGTCATGTTTATTTTGATTAATTAGTATTTAAACGATTTTCTTCAACTTTACAAGGTGATAAATTTAAAATGTGTGTATAATATATAAGCTTAAGATTTATGTTCACAATGTACTTGTTCGTTTTCAAGATGAGGGAAAATACAAATATTTGGTTTCCTAAGTTATAAAAAAAAAATGGCGTCATATATTAAACTCTAAGGTATTCCCAGGGTGGAATTAAAAAAGTTTTTTTTATTCTGTTTTAAGGGAAAATAACGTAAAATTAAATCTAATTAACTGAAGTTTGTTTTTTAATAGTTTTTTAAATTATAATAAAAGTTTATCCAGACAGAAGTAATAGACTTCGAAATTAAATGTCAATATTATAAAACGAATATTTTCCTAATAGATTATTATAATACAATATTGGAGACTTTTATACTATTTATTGCCTTAATGTAAACGAATACAATTGTTTTAACTTTTACAATAGCGGTTTACTCGGCAACATGTACCTACCGAGTACTATTATAATACCTAATATTCGTATAAAAAAAACCTTGTATACAGTAAAAAAGTGTATGTTTCCTGCGTGTTATACAGTCCATGTCGAAACGTAGTAGGTAATTTTTTTTTGTGATGTCAGTGATATAGCGAAAATCGATAATAATATTACAGTAACGAAATTGAAAACTATTAATTTGTTCTACTTTACTTAGAGCAATATTAATTAAATGTGTGCATGGATGAAAAACCAGCGTTCCCTAATTCAGTTTATTTGTGGCTTTGAAATGTATGGGGGGGTACAAACTGAATATGTTGCTTATGATTTCTAAAGTAAAACATTTTGTGAAAACGATGATCACTGTTGATTTTTTTTATCAAACGTTTGTGCTCACAAAAATGGAGTTTGGAGTCCAATGACAAGGCCCAAAGAGGAATGAGTTAATATTGCTATGAGAGCCAGAATTTCCTTACCACTTAATCCGTGTTATAACTAGTGATTTTTAAACTGTTCGTACGATTGCTCTTTTAGACATCTCTTAATTAAAATTGCATTTCGTTATTGATTCATAAAACATTTATTTGATGAACGTTCATGCGACCAGGTAGGTAGGTATTGGCGAATTTCGGTAAGTATAAGAATACTAGTCGGTTGGGTTGTTTGTAGTATCTGCCTTCTTTGATATTCAGGACTTAGGCCGTCACTGTCACTGTCGTCTAGGGTGTCCTTCGGGGGCACCTTTGTAATGTTTTTTTTTAGCCTTTTTTTAGGAAGCGACGCGACGTGGCGTTATCCTTGACGGACGCCAAGCGTACGACGTTTCCCAGAGGCGCATCTTTCACATTGTCCGTTTCTCGGTCGGTTTTGTTTTGCACCGTCTATCCTTATACGTCCTTTGTGGTAGCCGCGCGTATTGTGGTGACCGTATCGATTGCTTTTGTAAGTCGCATACCGTTCGATGGCGTGGACCAATGCGTTTTTGCGCGCTTGTATTGCATTATTGTCGCCGTGCACCGGACATTATTCACTGTACTTGCACGGCACGATTAACCGTTATATATGGATATAGGTATACGCGGATATGTACCTATATAGCGTGGACAGTGTCACGAAGCGGTTGGCCGTTGCGTTTTTACCGAGTCCGATCGGAGAGGATTAACCTCGGCCGGCGGTGCTGGCGTGTGTCCGTCGGATTTTGTAACGGATCGATTAACAGTGTGTGTGACCAAAGGACTGTTATTGTTGTACGTGCCAACTATGATGTATGCATTCGACACGGCCGCCCGAGTTCACCGGCCGTGTGTGCGTGGGCGTGTGGACGGGGAGGGTGGTCGATGGTGTTGGCGGTCTTCGATGGTAAATCATTTTAAAGGATTTTTCCGGCAACGTGACTCGTGGGCGAAGGGTGGCCCGAAATAAACACAGGGAAAGATGGGCCGGTCTCGCGAGATGCACACACTTCTCAGTCATAAATCACCATCATCATGATGGTCCCTATGCGGATATTCGGTACTTGTAACCTGTACTTTAGCAGTTTCGTACTTCTAGTCGAGCACACACACTTACACTATATGGATGAATAGATATTTATATACATTTTGTTTTTTGGTACGCTTTCCTGTGTAAAATATTCAGTGCGCCATTCTCGTTTATCATGCGTCAGTTATCAAAGGTGATACTGTATAGTGTATAATAATATGTAACATGTCTTTACTTTTTAATTACGACAAACAATTCAAATCCAGCATTATTTATTCGGGAATCCTGATTTTAGGAAAACTACCAGTTTGTTTCGATCGGTTCTAGGCTCTATTTCTAGAGATGTATGATTGATATAATTTATTTATGAGTATAAAATAAAATAAAATAATGTTGCTAGAACTTGCACCAAAGTCTCCATAGATCTCCGAGTTTAAACATTTTTGTGATTTTTAGTAATTTAATAAAAAATTGGAGATCGAAAAATTGAAAGAATTAGATAATTATTAAAACCAGTTTTTATCAGATGTAGCTTTTATTTTACCCTTTTTTATAATTAGCTACGAAAAACATAATTAACATTGCATTTAGTGTTACGGTTTTAAGGTACTACCAATTAACCGGGTGGGTAAACTCGATTACTTGTTCTCAGAACATGCTATTAGAGGATTGGTGTAAGGAAGTATCTTAAAACCAATTAAAATGATCTGATCTTACAACGGATGGGATTTTATTCCGCAGCGCCTTAGACCGTACGGCTATAGTAATTAAACGCGTTCGCTAAACGGATTGGGTGTCAGTCAGAGATGATTAATTGTCGTATGATAATCTTAGTTACAACACACGTGGTCTTATAAGTCTATTTTTGTTTGAACTTTACATTTAACGAGACTCGCGAGTTGTGAGTTGTTGTTAAGTTTGGTTAAAAGTTAGAAAAACAACCTAACAAAATATAATGTTAGCAGTTGTTTTATTTAACCCATCATGGTATAAATTATAATAACTTATAGTTTTTTAATTTAATAATGAATTAATATTTCCTATTCCAAGAACGTCAAAACGTTTTAGTTATAAAACATTTTATACTATGTTTTTAAATAAATAATTGCAATATTATTAGTACAAATCACAAAACTAACTTATTTGTATTACGAACGAAATTTAAGTTTATAAAAAGTTGTGGAATTAACATGTTATAACTCATAACTTGCATTAATTTATTATAATTGTTAAAAAAGCCATTCGAAAGGGTAAATTTTAAAATTCCTCACTTTCTCAAACTTATCAGCTTTTGTTAATTTGTCATGTTTAGTAATTTGTACTAAATCCGTTTTAAATAATATAAATTAACGATGTGTAAGCTAAAACAATTTAACAACCTATAATACACTGATATCATAGTTTTAGTTGAAGATATTTTGAAGTTGTGAAAAATTGCCTACACCTTAATTTCTTAAAAAAATATATTAAGGTATTTTTGACCTAAACATTGCTCTACCATTTTTTTTAAATCAAAATAGTCTTGCGCATGTAAAGGAATCTAATAAATCAATAGGAATAGAACTTGGCCATATCTTTTGTATACTTTTGTCATATTTTCTTAAACCTTTGTTGGGTACCCGTACTCTGAATGCATTCTCCGATAAAGAGTGTTTTGTACTTGAAACACTCAAGAGTGCCGGAAGCGAACAATTTTTACCCTTAGGTATTGTTAGC